TAACAAGAAGAAGAAGAAGCAGAGAAGAGGAAAATACCGGATCCTGTGGAAAACTTGCTCGAGAAGTGCTTTCAACGACGAGGATTCGAGATCCCGGATTCAGATTAATGTATCATCGGGGATCGTTACGTCCCGGAAAATTTCGCCTTCCTGAAATGGATGGCGAATAGAATTTTCGCGACGACATTGGAATTCCGCTGGGTTTATTGGTCGGTCGAGGAAGCTCGTAAAGATCNATTGGATCGGTCGGTCGGTCGGTCGGTCGGGCGATCCGTAGACGGTCGAGGCTAAGCATCCAGACCAGTTGAACCCGAGAGTCAGTCGAGCAGCGTCCCGGAATAGTCAAAGGGCTCGTGAGACGTCCCCTGGACGACATGTCGGCCGCGTTTTTCCTCCGCCGTCACCAATCAAACGGGTTCGAAACCGGGGACCGGGGTCGGTTGTTGCGCCGGCCGAGGAAAGAAATAGTCCTGTAACGGGATAAACGAGTGTTCGCCACCGCGCATTCCGATACGTAACGGAGAAAAGTGTGCGAGTGTATATCGTTCCGTGGATCGTGGACGCAACGCGATTGTGGTTGTAAAAAATTTCCTGGAAAACGATCGTGCAACGTGCATATAAAATTCGAGTAATTTCAACCGCAGCCACCAGCAGCAGCGGCCAGGTCTTCTCGCTATTCGCGGAACAGGCCTCGGTGGAAGCAGTAAAATCCTTGTATCGTATCGCTGAGAGAGAGAGATGCGTTTGCGTACGAACGATCTCGACCTCACGCTCGAGAATTGTTTCTCCTTCTTTCGCCTTTTCTTTTTTATAAAAAAAAATAACAGAGGAAAAGAAGAGAAGACGATCGAGTACGTTCTTCTTTTTTTTTTTTTTCTTCCTCGACGGAGGAGAAAACGAGGAAAGGAGGGATTCGTTCGCGTATTTCTCTCCCAATCGCGTAAATCGTAAACAGTTCACCACCACCGAGCGAGAAATTTCACCTTCCGCTCCTCACCCCCTGCCATCTGGCAACGCCATTTCCTGCCCCAAGAGTGCCGCCCGTAATCATTATTATTCGCGGCCAAATAGCCGGTGGCTCTCTCTTTCCAGCCACTGATTGGCCTCCCTATCTTGAAAATACCAACTCTCCGCGGCCGCACCGCCGCATTAAACCTCGTTCACCGTTCGCTCGGGGTTAATCGTCCGTCGTTCGTATTGTTTGTCGGTCAACTAACGATTTCACCATGTTTCTCAACTCAGCCAATCTATCGATACGATAAAACATTCAACCGATTCAAATGTTTATGAAAGAAGAACCTCGAAATCTTATTTTTCAACTCGTTTCATTTTGAATAGCGTTCACGGAGTGTATAAATTTTTTTCACAATTTCTCGATTTACTCGAATACTTGTTACAAACTTGAACAAAATTTCTACTTCTTCTTCGTCTCGTATCTTCAATCGCTTCAACTTATTCAACTATTAAAAATTCTTACAATTTCAATACCCTTTCGTTAAGCTACTACAATTAATCGCCCCACGTTACTCCCTAAATAACCATCATTCCAATTAGCAAAAATTTTTCAACTTTCACAATCTGTCTCGTCAACCCTTTCCCCTTGGACACGTATCTCCGTGAAGGATCGAAACGGCGGAACAGATTAAAACGATGGAGGGGAAACATTCCATCGGTTTCACGCGTCGCACGCCCGCATACAACTTCCGCCAATTATCGGTGGGCGCATGGGAAGGAAATGGAACGAGAGAGAGAAAGAGAAGGGAGGTGGAAAAGGCGGTGGTGGACGTCTCGTCGCAGAATGCACGTCGAATGCAAAGCACCGGCAAGGTCGCGATTTCGAGGGAACCGGGAGAGTCGCTGGTGCCCCCTCCTCCCCTCCGTCACCTTCGCGCAGGTAGTCGAAAGCGGAGGAACGAAGAGGTTGGCTCGAGAGGAGCGGAGAAGAGAGGAGAGAAGGAGACGAGCAGGAAGGCAGTCAGCCACNGCCGAACGGAGGAGAGGAGAATGGCGAGGCGGAGGGTGAAGGCCCCGGGCGAGGTCACCCACCGCCCCCGCCCTCTCACTCCCCCGCACACCCTGATTACCCGCAGCCGGGGGCGGGACACACTGTAATGAGCATCGAAGAGGTGCTCAACCTCCACTTTCCGTTCGAAAGGAAAAAATTGTGACGCGAGATATTTCTCCTCCTAAACTCTTCCCTTCCAGTCGAAAATAATTCGATTAAATTAATCGATTAAAAAATGTTACGTCTCGAAATATATCGAAATATAACGGAATTGAAAAACAGGATTGATCTTTCTTTTTAATTTTCCCTCCCATTGCTGTACCACCAATTAATAACAAGTTCGCAGCAACGCGTATATAAAGGTATATAGAGTGTCAATCGTGAATAGGGGTCGTTCTGAGGAAAGAGAGAGAGAGAGAGAAAAAGGGATCGGTGGTGGTAACACGACCTCGATTCGAAGATACCCGCTGAGAAGGTCGCGGGGAGCGTGAACGAAGCGAGGAGGGGACCGGTTGAATGCAAGAGTAGCTCGGTCGGCTGTCGGCGAAGACACCCCGGATGATCGAGCGATGTTATTTTAAGTTTTTCCCTCCCTCCCTCCCTCCATCTTGTCCTAATCGGCTGTCAGCCACCCCCGTGACTGGGGTCGTAGGCCATCTCCCCTCCCCCAACTCAACAGGACATGCGCTACGTGACGCCGAAGAGGATGGAGCTCGGAGGAGGGGGAGGGTGATCTTGACACAGGGACCCCCCGCGGACTGGATTCGCCCCTTTTGCGAGGGGGGAGATTCGCGCCGAGGAGGAGGAGGAATATCATACCCCTCGAGGGGTTGGTTTCAAAACGTTTTACACTCTCATAACCGGGGGACCTGTTGATCCTCGTCGCGTCGAAAAATCGCCACCACCACTCGAAGAAGCGTTTTACAAGCCGCGCCTCGTCATCGCGCGCGATTCACGATCTTGGTGGCCTCGAAATGTGGAGCGTTAGCTGACGAAATTAAATTGGATTAGATTATCCAAATCCCCTCTCCTTACTTTATGCTCTCTCTACTTTATCTCTCGTTTATTATCGAATAAAAATTCTTCCAGATATATACACGAGACGCAACGAGTGCATAAGATCGCCAACGACTTTCTTTTCGAGCTCTTATAAAAAAAAAAAAAAAAGAAAAGAAATAAAGAGCGTTTCAACCGGTTAGATAAATTCGAAAACGATTCCATTCCTTCCGACCGACGGAATTATTGTTAATAATAAACGCCTTTTTTTTTTTTTTTTTTAAACGAATCTCGACCCCAAGGGAGAGAAGATTTCATAAACGCGTTTTAATCGATCCCCTTCGTAGACAGTTTTAAAATTTCCTCATCGACCCGTCCCCCTGTTCCCATGGCCGCGAAATTTCTTGCATTAGCATCCCCCTCTCCCTTCCCCCGACCACGAGAGATAAGAGGCATAGTAAAATCCTATATCGTCCTATAAATATTCGACGAGTGGCTCGAGTCCGGTTGTTGCAAATATCCCGGGAGGAGGATAAAGCGCATAATAAAAATTATAGCCGCGAGCCGCGATACCGGGAGGAAGAGGAATAGGGAAGAGGAGGAGAAGGAGGAGGAGGAGGAGGAGGAGGAGGTGGAGGAGGGTGACTGGTGAAATTCCAGCAGAGTCCTCGAACTCTGGAATAGACCGTGAAGATGAAGTCGCTCCAGGAAAGTTAGGATGACCTCGCAGGGTCCTGCGGCTCGTTTGATGGACCTCTCCCCTTCTTTTTCTCCCTCTTTTTCTCCCTCCCCCTCCTCCCCCTCCCCTCCCTTCGTGGCGTTCACGCATTTCCACCGGGATACCCGTTTACACCGAGCCGAGTTTGGTGGCACATATTATATACCTGCGGAAAGGAGGCAGAACGAGGGACGAAACCGAGGGGAGGAGAGGTTAAAAAGAAGAAGAAGAAGACGAAGAAGAAGAAGAAGACGAAGAAGAAGAAGAAGAAGTGAAGGAGGTGGAGGAGGAGGAGGAGGAAGGAGAGAAGAAGGGGGAAAGCGCTCTCTCTCTCTCTCTCGTCCGCAGCGTGCTTATTGCGTGATATTAGCCACGGTGGCTGGCGGAGTAATCATAATCTCGAAAGAGGGACAAAACACCAGGCCCCGAATCGCATAACGCTGAATTTTACGACTTGTGGCATAGAGGACAGGCGACCGGATGCAACGTGACTTTTTACCTCCCTCTAACGTCCCAGGCTTGATGTCAACAAGAAGGTGGCGGAAACCGGCAACACCCCAAATGGGATCCCTCCGGGGGGAGGGAAGAGGCCTCGAATCGTATCGAATCGAATCGGATCGAATCGAATCGGATCGGCCGGTGTCCAAATTCTTCGAGCGAATTTATTTCGAAAACGAAACAATCCCAAATCTTGTTTCTCGAGTTGATCGAGAGTCACTGCTTGAAAATAAAAATAATAAAATTCGTATTTCTTCAGAAAAAAAAAAAAAAAAAGAAAACTTTTCTAGCAAGCACGAAATTCTATAGCAAACGAGCGGATCTCGGATTCGAAACGTCGAAAGCGAGAGGACGGTAAAATGTTTCTACTTTCTATCTGAAACGATCTTTCCGGGAACCCGATCTAATTTACGCGTTTGCATAAACCTGGCCGCGGTTTCCAGGTAATAAATAAATAGAAAAGGAGGAAACCTTCGAGTTGCGGAGGTGGGAGGAGGCGTTACATCGCGATCGTTTCGCAATCGTATGAAATTGCCGCGCTCCCGTTCGGTCCAATCGGTCAACGTAATAGGAACGCAACAGGAAGGAGCGGAGGAAAATTTTTCCCCCCCTCCCCTCGCGCGGAGGATACCGTAAAAGTTGCTTTCCGCGATAGATACTTCTTTCCTTTCTTTTTTTTTTTTCTTTTTTTTTCTTCTTCTTCTTTTTCCTTCTGAGAAACGCACTGCGTGCACTACCATAGATATACGCACGATTTCAAAGAGAGATGCGTGACTCACTTACCGTAAGGTCGATCCGCGATCGGCTGCTCGCACGAGTCTGAAACAAAGGAAAATCTCGTATCAGACCAGAGTAACCCTTTTTCTTTTCTCCATACGATAATACGATAATCTTACGCGGAGGAACGAATAACTGTAGAGGGAAAAAACGTCGAGATGCGTTTCCTTCTCCCCTCCCAATTCATTCGAATTCCTGCCTCCGAGGTGTGATTACGCGTAATAGTCATTCGTATCGCGTTCACGAGACAATTCGAAAACGACCGTGATCCGTCGTAATACGTTCAACATACACATACGCGCGCGCGTACAATCCCCTCCCCCTGCGTAATTATCTTTTTCAATTTGCATACGCGCGTTGCCGCGATCATTCGATTCGAGCCGAGCCATCGTTCGAGCGCTAATAACAAGCGGCCCTCGGACTGTGCCGTGGTTAAGCAATTTCGAGGGCCACGGATCGAGGCTCGCAATTTCCTTTAACGCTTTAACGATCGAAATTCCATCGATTTATGCCGCGTAATATCTTCATTCGTGTAACGACGATATATATATATATATATAATTTTTCTTTCTTACTTAAAATTGTATTATTATATCGAATGGTGATGAAGGAAACAATGTTTCTCCGTTTCAAGCTCGATTGGAAATGGATGGAAGGCTCGTGAATCATTTATTTATCGGTATTGGTCGAAATATCAGTTTTTCCACGCTGAAAAGTTATCCATGGACGCGACAGATGCTAGGTCGAGCCTAGCCTGGAGCTTGTGATTCGAGGCGAGGGACTAATGGGAGCTGGTAAGTCATCGGATGTCATAAACGTTCCATTCGGTGGTGCGACGCGTGTTAACGGCCTCATTATATGGATCATCCGTCCAAATGTGTTAGTCTACGCAGTTGAAAAGAACAAGAAGACGTTTGGCCCGAGCTTGATTGTAAAATTTAATAAACCAGAGAGTTTCCAGACTTTCGCGTTGCTCCTTGGATTTTTAATGAAACGATCCTTCGTACGGGAACAATAAAATTTGGAAAACTGTATATGTAATTGCTTTATACTTAATTTTTTCTCTAAAAAATATATATACAATCAATGAGCAAAGATATAGAATTGTATTCAATTGTATTTGAATAATAAAAATACGTTCAAAATTTGATTAATAAGAAACAAGGGATATAGTTGTTATATAGAGTATATAGTTGAATCTTATAACTCTCAGGAAATAACATGGCGTAGCCAGTCATCCACGTAAGGGATGTATAATAATGGACAGGGTCGTCCGGCTGGCAGTGCGATCGAAAGTAGAGATTAGATTCGACGGGACAAAACATTCTGCATCTGGTATTCCGTCGAACCTGTCGTCGATGGAACAACGACATTGGCCAGAACGAAAGCGACTCTCATTCATTCGAATCGTTATATACATGTATTTTCTTGCTCTTACTTTCGACGATTCTCTTTCCATCTCATTCGTCCACTTTCTTCCGTGTTCGTCAATTTGTTTAACACATTAATAAATCATAATGCAAATCAGTTTAGCTTCTGTATCTATCAACTTGTTTCTGATTAATATTGATTGATTTTTTTCCAAGATATTTAAAACGAATTCATTTAAATGCGATACCTTGCATTTATTCTTTCATTTATTCATAAAACGAATACTCTTACTCTTATATCAACGAACGTGTTCATATCTACATCAGCAGATATAATGCGAAAAGAATTTCTAAAAAAAAAAAAAGAAAAAAAACGAGACGTTAAAATTATATAATTTTAATAATAACTTTCTCGTGTATTAAAATATATCACTGGATTCCAATCCAAAAGAATCAAACTTAACCATTTTCCAAAAGATCATCCTTCGACTTAAAAGGGACGATATTATTAACTTCCGTTCAACGATAAAAAAAAAAAAAAAAGAAGCCAAAAATCAAGGTTCATCGATCGTCGACAGAAACGCGTACGACATTTCGTTTAATCGGTTGTCGGGCGTTGTATTCTAATATTTCCCGCGAACCGGCGGCGCGCCACCACGAATTCTAATTCGTGCTGGGCCCTGGAGGTGCCAACGGGGTCGCACGCGATAGT